TGAAGTGGCCTGCAGTACTGCACCCTAACCATTGCGCCACCTCGGCTCTATAAATATATATATATATATAAGACAGGGTCTTATTTTCGGGGAAACACTGTAGTACCAAAATATATTCTTAGTTTTATGTAACCTGTGTACGAAAACTCAGAAGTGTATTGATTTTTGCAAGCTCAAAATCTTACCAATTTCTCCTTCTACCCCTGGCTTGGGAATACTGATGGAAGTTCGTGTTTCGGTCTCTAGTTTTTTCCTGGTTTCTCCTTTCTTCCCTATTATATACCTGTAGAAAACATTGAGCGGGATAAGGAAGAAAAAAGGAGCCAAGTTTAAAGAGCTAAATTAGTATTAAATGATTCCCTGCATCACAAAAATAACTATCCTGTGTGTTATGGAATTTAAGAGCTTAATAGGCACAATAGTTCTCACAATATCCAAATCCTTGGGACACAAAATGTAGCCTGGGAAAGGCAGTCATCGTATAAAATTCAAGCGTTAGGAATTATCTTATAGCACATTTATTAGTTGGTAAATGAAACAGCATGAGAAGTTGGGGTTTTTTTCCCTTCCACCTATTAGAGGAAATAGAAGTAAAGCCAGAGAATGTGGTAATTGATTATATGCTGGTTGTAAAATTGATACGACTCCGTAAATTTCGCAATGTGGATTTACTGGCATGGCGTATCGGCAGCCGCTTCAGAAAAAACAACAAACAAAGGAAACAAACCAATAAACATAAAGCAATATGATAAATGTAGTCTTGGGTGGGCCTGTGGTCTTGCAAAGGCTCAGTGAGGGACCCTATTTGAAACTAAACCAATCTGGAAGCCAAAACTGCACATCAAGGGCGACTTATTTATCTCCGCGACAACAACTGTGAGACAGATGAGGTGGAAAGGAAAACGGGCGAAGAGGAAACTGGTTGGGGAAAACTAGGTAGTTGTGGCTCATTTCCTCCATTCCTCTCAGGTTCATTGACCACTTTCTAGGTAGCATTTCATACTGAGTTTGTGTGAGAGAAAAAAAGGTGTATGTGCGGAAAATGCTGAGGTATGACTTGGCTTTATTCTCTTAAAAAAACCCAGGGAGTTAATAAAAAATTCTGTGTGCTGTTTTGGCATGTAGTGTGATCGCTTGTCCTCAATCTCACTAAAAGATGCGCATGGATATTTCCCATGTAAACTCTTGACCGTTGACCAAGGCTAGGTCTTCTGTTGTCTCAAGCTGCCCATCCCCAAATGGTGGTCGCCATGAGTGGACTTTGGCGAGCGATGCAAGGAAAGAAGGATTGATTGTAAGTGAACTGTGACACGCCTTCATTGTAACGCTCACAATCATCAACAAAGAATCGCAGTGAGAAACGACGGTCAAAATTAGATAGAAGCTACGTCAAATTAAGCAATAGTAATAGCAATAGCAGTTAGACTTATTTACCGCTTCATAGGGCTTTCAGCCCTCTCTAAGCGGTTTACAGAGTCAGCATATTGCCCCCAACAACAATNGGCCAACTCACCATAGCCAACTCACCATGGCTAACTCACCATAGCCAACTCACCATAGCTAACTCACCATGGCTAACTCACCATGGCTAACTCACGAGGGCCAACTTGCCACAACCAACGCACCATGGTCACCTCACCATGGCCAACTCACCATGGCTGACTTGCCATGTCCAACTCATCACGGCCAACTCACCATGACCCACTTACCATGGCGAATTCACTGTAGGACAAGAGTTACACTAACTGTGAATGGCAAAAATTAAAGTATTTTTTATTTACTTTAAATAATTAAGTAGAATTGTTAAATTGTCCCACAGTGAGTTGTCCCTCGGCGAGCTGGCTGTGGTGAGTTGTCCCATTCACGGATCCAAAGAGCTGGGCTTCATGACCTCAAGAGACCTTTTCAACTCTATGACTCTTTCTCTCCCTTCCCTGACAAAGCTAGGGGAGGGGCTGCCCCTAGGCTATTTACGCACTTTCCACATGATATGGAAGATGGTTAGTGTGGGGTTTTTTTTTGCACCTGTTCCCTACAAACTTAAATTTAGCCCAAAGGCTTTGAGAAAACTCTAAGTAGGGGATAGGAAAACATTTAAGGCCTCCCCACATTAATCCATGCAGCAAAATCAAGGGGGGGGGGGACACGAGATTTTAATGAGACAAAATTTGAGACTATTTCAGCACCTGAGTTTGCCTTTCAAAGCTATCTTCTTTAACAGACATTTAAAGTATTGTCCTAGCTCTGTGCTGGAGGGAAAATAATCATTCTCATCCTTGAAAGAGATTTTGCTTTCTAATTTTACCTCAGGTGAGAATTCCCACAGGTGGAATGAGGTCTTCCTTTAGGTGGAGGTTGCCAGAGTGGGCGAATGCCCCGTCTTTCATTGTACAGGTAGTCCTCGACTTACAACCACAACCCAGCCCAACATTTCTTTTGCTAGGTGAGGCACTTGTTAAGTGAATTTTGCCCTGTTTTTATGACCTTTCTTGCCACTGTTGTTAAGTGAATCGCCGCATTTGTTAAATTAGTCACACGGTTGTTAAGTGAATCTGGCTACCCCACTGACTTTGCTTGTCAGAAGGTCACAAAAGGGGATCGCGTGACCCCAGGACACTGCGACCGTCATAAATTTAAGTCAGTTGACAAGGATTCGAATTTTGATCACATGACTGCTGGGATAATGCAACGGTTGTAAGTTGGAAACACGGTCGTAAGTCATTTTTTTCCTTGGTGCTGTTATAACTTTGAACGGTCGCTAAAGGAACATAAGTTGAGTACTACCTGTAAACTAAATACGTTGTGTGAGCTCATATATGGACCCAGTTATATGAATGTAACAGTTCCAACATTTACATACCGGAACCTCTGGAAAACGTTAGAGGAACATGCCGCGTTTCCCTGAAAATATGACATGTCCTGAAAATGCCATGCCAGATTTTGGGGTGGGCAAAAATATAAGCCCTCCTCCGAAAATAAGCCCCTTGGACATCCCTGCCTCCAGCCAGGCAGAGCGCCACTCACCAACCTACCATTATCCCAAAACCGCGGGAGCGGGGGGGGGGGGGGGGGGGGGCGCGCCAAGGAGGGAGGGAGGGAGAGAGAGAGAGGGGGGGGGGGGGGGGACAGGCGCTCGCACGACTTTGTGCCTTCGGGATATCGCTGGGTCAGTGAGTGGTACTTTGCCTGGCTGGAGAAGAGGGTTGCGCGAACACCTGTTCCCACCCCCCTGCTTGTGGGCCTCCCAGCCTCACCATGACCTGGCCCAGCACTCCCTGCAGGACCAGGGCGCCACCACCGCCACCATCCTAGCACTGAGGATAGCTTCATCTGCGGCTTCCAAACCCTGGAAGTCTGCTGCCAAGTCTTCCGGAAGCCAGGGCAGAGAGTCTTCCGGCAGTGGCTACTCTGGGAGTGTACTTCCCGCTCTATGGTTGTGGGCCGGCTGACGGAAGACTCTGCTGCAACAGCGCAACATGGCCGTTCCCCCCTGAGGCTGTGCCCGCGTACTCCCATCCCTGTGCCAGGGTCTTCAGGAGCCTGCTCACAAGAGAGCAGCCGCCCGGCAACCCCAACACAATAAACGGCACCCCGATAATTACGACAAGGCTATATTTTTTGGGGGGGTGTCAAAAGAAAATAAGAACCTGTCTTATTTTTGGGGAAACATGGTAATAAATTTAAGGGTTGGTATTTCTTCCTGGTAAAGTCGCTGTAAGGACTATTCTAAATCACTGGCTTGTACATTGTGAACAAATTTATACACCCACCCGTGTAAAGATGAGCTGCCCCCACATATCATGCTCCTGAGGGTACATTATTAAAAGCAATTTTGTGTATCAGTGCAAAGAAGGTAAAACAAAAGTTAACAGCCCTAAATTTTATGCATAATTACTATGTAAAATTGCTGATCTCCCCTGGGTGGGAACGTCAATATTAATGGTAATAGCATTTCTAATATGGCACATTTCCAATATTTTGTCCCTAATTAGCATTCAGATCAGGTACGGTGGTTTCAGCCTTGCTATGCCTCTGTTTTCCCTGTCTTGGATCGAGCCAACTTTTACTTCGAAAGCAAAGAGGGGAAAAAATAGGAGTGAGAGAACCGAACACCTACACTGGATGCAGTGATCTGGTATGAAATGATAGATAGATAGATAGATAGATAGATAGATAGATAGATAGATAGATAGATAGATAGATGATAGATAGATAGATAGATAGATAGATAGAT